TACATATAACCTCGGGACATGGAGTAGAGTGCGGGAACGGATTCAATGGAATTGTAATAGATAAGCATGATATCGGGGGTGGGAGGGCAGTGGATGGGGAGAGGGGGGTTGTTATTTTGTGAGGGTGAAAAGGGTAACTATTGCATTGTTCTGTACACCTGAAACTAAAAAAAAAAAAAAAAGACCAGAGGGGTTAAGTGACTTGCCCATAACCGCACCGCTAGCAAATGACAGAGCCAGGTCTCAAGGCCAAGTCTGTTTGACCCCATCACTCCTGCTCTTACCACCTTCCTTCTAAAGACACACAGGGTAGTGGATTCTTAGATGCCAATTGGAACAGGCATACAAATCCAGACAGAACTAAATTTGAGATCAATTTAGCTGGGAGAACTCAGCATAGATTGTACTTTTGATAATTTAAAAGATAAAATACTGTCATGTGGTAGTAGAGTCAAGAAAAGATAAGCTCAAAATTTTTAAAATCGCAATAATAAAGAAAAATGAAACAGGGAAGGAAGAGGGCATGTTGACCCCGATTTCAATTTCTCTGGTTTCTTCCTCACAAAATCATTTAGGGACTCGAGAGACAATCACAAGAGTGCAAAGGCACTTAATCAGAGATTTTACAAACCACTAAATCAAAAGAGACTGTGAAATTCCTGTTGGGGGGTGGAGGGGGGCAGGTAACATTGGGATTAAGTGGATTAGTCTACTGTACAGGAATCCGGAGAATGCGGCCCGCATGTGCTTTTGTTGTGATTACTCAGCAGCAACAGGATGATTTTCCATCTCCCAGAAACATATGTGCATGTGCCCTCCCGTACACCAGCAGGAAAGAGCAGCGCCTGGCCTGCTGCTTCCCTGCGCCACAGCCTGATTTCAGGAGGCGGCAGAGATGACATTTTATGGAGAGTTGGTGCAGGGAACATGTTGGAAATGAAAAGGCAACCCAGCGAACGCACCCATAATTTCTACGCTCAGTCCTTGCAAAGAAGGAGGGAGAAAAAGGCCCTCTGACAGCGTGGCTCCCAGACTTCCGAGGAAATTGCCACCTAATGATGGTTGAGAGGGGTCCTTTCTAAGCTTCTTTCCTTTCGGTGTTAAGTGCACCAGCAGCAGCACTTGGAATTCAACTCGCAAACTACACAAATTGCCCGTTTTCAGAAATTCGCATCCAAACTCCCAAAACGGGCGTGATGGATAGATACCTGCACAAATTGTGACCTGCCAGAGCTAACAGTTTACATCAGCAGTCTATAATAAATAATTAATATAGCCCCAGTAGATATAAAGCCGATGACATGGTATCTCTCCCTCGGCTCTAAATGAAACTCCAGATAACCTACATTGAACAGTAATGTGTTCACAGTATGTGGGAATTAACTGCTCAATATAATAAGTACTATTGAATTTCCCATCTCAATGCAGATAAAGGGCAACTGCCACCAAAAACACTGTAATAACAGTAACTGAGTGATGAAAAAAAGAAACATTTTCCTATTACAACCTTAAAATGTTATAGGTTAAAATAATCTTAAAGGGCTTAAAAAACAGCAATTAAATCTTTCCATTTCTGTTTTCCAAGATTGCGGCTGAGAAAACGAGGGCCTAAGAGCCATACGGTGCTAGCCTTGCTAATAACGCTCTGTGAAAAATCTCATTAATTCAGTCTGGCTCTTTAGATCAGCCGCTAAATCCTTGTATTGTCACTCATCCTCTGGCCTTTTCAGGATTTCCATAGCCTAACTAGCAGTATCTCCATGGAAACCAAGCAGTCCTGCTTTGCACATCCCAGAACTTTTTGTTCCTGACAAAGCTTGACAAATCACATGCAGCATGGAGAGTTTAACATAGCGAACTAAACCCTGACCCACACTTAGAAATGATAAACCCAAGCATCCCAGCTTTATTATAAATGATTTCCTTACAAGATACTTAACCAAGCCAGTGAAATGTTGAACCAGACAAGTTTCAAGAACAAGGTGCTGGGGGGGAGAAGGAAATAAAAAAGGCAAACAAATAAATAAATAAATAAATAAATACCCCAGGCGTGTTCAGCTGTAGGTTTCGCAATCTTGTTTTTTGTCTAATTGACTTAAATTAAAAGCAATCAACAGAGAAAAAGAGCAAGAGGGATGCTGTTTCTGTGTGATTCCAGAGCCTGAGAAATAGCCTTCCCTTTCCAGAAAGGTAAACCCTAAGTCCATTCCCTTGTTTTCCCTGACTCCTGTAGAGGATGGCCTTGGGACTCTAACAGGTCCCTGTGTCTGGCAACCACTTTCTGGCTGTTCATTCTTGCCCTTTTCAGTTGAGGCTCACAGTTCTGGGAAATGTGAAGGCATCACTGGCCCTAGAAAGCAGGGCTGGCCTCGCTAGGGAGAGAGGCTGAAATCTTTCACAAGGGTAACAAAAAGACAGAAGATAGGGCTCTCCAGGGTCCTATTTCCATTTGAAATGCCATATTCGCCATTCATTCCTACTGTTTACCTGGCAAGCTCCCTTCTCACCTTCCTCTGCATTGGGCATTCTGCCCAGGCGATGAAGCCAGGTTGGAGGTACTCCCCACAGGGGCCCTGTTCCCAGAGAAAGGAGAACCCTGAAAAGAAGGAAGGTGAGGCGGTATGTGCGACAGGGCAGTCAGAGGCCGACAAGGATCCTGCAGCGAATACACACACATGTTTTAACCTTTAGCTTTCACTTCTTCACAGAGTGGGTGTCATAGGCCCATGTGAAGGTGGTATCATGACTTATAAACCTATTCCTCAGCCTTAGCCAGGTTCAAGGATGACACAGGGCAGAGTAAGGCAGCTATACATTCTGAAGGAGGATGGGCCCTTTGTGGCCTCTTCTGTCTTATTGATGCTTTACCTGCCACTGACAAGGCTTCCTAACTAAGGGTAGACAGGCCCTAAAGGGGTGGGTGACACTGGAGGGTGAGGGTCACCATCGACATTAGCCCCTTCAGTCTCCTGTCTTCCTTTTGCCATCTCTACAACACAACAGGCCAGCAATGATGAGGCATGTGACAGGGAAAGGCACAGGGGTGGAAGAAGAAAGGCCAAGAAACCCCATAAGCCTTCGACTTGATTCTGTCTCCTTGGTCTAGGCCTTGACTACACTTGGAATCCCACTAGGGATGTTTAAGGGTCTAAGCCAAGGTCTTCCTTCTTTGGTTCCTCTTGGTTTTGAGACTGGCAATGTTTTAGAGACAGCACAGTACTTGTAGCATCCGGAATGCTTTGCCTTGACAAACCATCCAGGATCAGATTGAACTCTGTGTTGGCAGCAATGTTTACACCCTCACTACCCAGGAACTCGCCAGCACAATGCTATTGGATGTTTACAGTAATGACCAGTTCTGGATGCATTGTACATGTTCTACAAATATTTGCTGATTAACTGAATTGGTACCTGTAATATCTCCCAGTTCCCTCTGATCCTCAAAACAACGGTAAATGAGGCTTAGCTCATTTCAACCTTCAGTGAACTTCACGGCATTCTTTGACTTTGAAATTTGAGAATCCATACAACAGCAACAATAATAACAACAGCTAGCTCTTATCAAGTTTCTACTCTGTAATACCAGGCATTCTTCTGAGTGTTTCACATGTATTAGCTTCTTTAATCCTCCTATCTATCATCTGGGAGAAGGTACTATTAATATGCACATATTATTAACTTCATTTTATCAACCAAAATACTGACACATGGGGAACTAACTTGCTCAAGTTCATAAAACTGGTTAGTGGTAGAACTGGGCTTTGATCCAAACAAACACATTTCACCACTACCTTTTGCTGTCTCATTATATTATCAATGCCAAGTTCATTAAATCAGAATAATCAGTTAATTATAATAGCTAACAATTACTAAATGTTTGCTATATGCCAGGCACCATTCTAACGTTACATAAATCACCTCATTTACACTTTACAACAGCCCTTTAGGGTTGTGCTATAAGGTAGATACTATTATTAGCATCATTTTACAAATGAGGAAACTGAGACACTAAGAGGTTAGTAACTCACCCAAAGTCATAAAACTAGCAGATGATAGAGCCAGATTCAAATCCAAGCAGCGTGGTTCCAGAAGCTTCTGTCCGCCAGGATCCCTGTTTCTCTAATCATTCAGGCACAATGGACAATAATGTTCCATGGAACCACTATTCCAGGCAAATATTATCTCTCTGAATGTCCCCACTCAGCGCAGCAGACAAGCCTGGTATTATCATATATTTCTTTCTAAGACTCCCTTTCAGACTGCTTTCTCAGAGGTATCCAAAACAATTCGAGGCCTAGGAGCAGAACTGTGAGAAAGGCTGCCTTTTCCCCTGGTTGAAAGAGGTCACACCTGAGCAGGCACAGCCTTTTGTCCCCTCCCAGGAATCTAGGCTCAGGAAGGGGCCACCCCAGTACTTGCACATGGGACTGTCATGTCCATGAGTTCAGCTGAGTCCAGCTCTTGGCACAGACTCTAGGAGATCAGACAGCATTCACTGGATAGAGGGACACTGCCAATGCTTAGGGACCTAAAAATAGACCTGCCAGCTGTGTTATGGTTTTGTAGGCACGTGCATGTCTGCTCCATTCTTGAGCACTCTGGGTGTTGCAATATATATGAAACCTGCTCTCTGCAGTATAGGAAAAGCACAAAATTCTTGCACCTTTTCTTTTATTTATTGTTTCTCTTCTGAGGCCCTAACTTCTTTACAGCCCAGGGAATGGCATTTCCTCCCCATCAGTTTTCCTCTATGGGCTGCTGCCTCCAAAGAGCACATCAACATTCACCCTTAAGAAACCCAGCCAGTGTCCCTGGAGACTGAGCACCAGCATGTGATTTCCATTCTCAGTCCAGACTCTCTGCTTCCTGGTCACAGCTTCTTTGGGCATACATAGCCTTCTAGGCTTAGCAAATGAGGCTCCTGTTTGAGTCACAGGTGATTCAACAGCTGGTGCTTGGCCTGAAAGTGGATAGGGCTGGTGTGCGGCAATGGGACATGGAATAGAGAGGACCTAGGGTCCGCATCCCAGGTGAGGGCAGGCCAGGCTCTAGGGATAGCCAAGGGTGGACAGTTTAAGAGAGCAGGCAGGACACCTGTCTGAGTCCATACAGGCTGCTATAAAAAAAGTACCATAGACTGGATGGCTTATAAACAACAGCTATACGAGTATATTTCTCAGTTCTGGAAGCTGGAAGTCCAAGATCAAAGTCCTGGCAGATTTGGTGTCTTGTGAGATCCCACCTTGTTCAGAGAAGGCCAACTTTTTGCTGTGTCCTCACATGGTAGAAGGGGTAAGGGAGATCTCTGGGGTCTTTTTCATAAGGACACTAATCCCACTTATGAGGGCTTCACTCATGACCTAACCACCCCCCAAAGCCCCACATCCTAGTGACATCACATTGGAGTTTAGGATTTCAACATCTACATTTTGTGGGGGGGACACAAACATTCAGACCACACCAGCACCCAACATAAAAGGGTCAACAATGAACAACTGGCTAGATGGATCTGGGTTTATCAGGCAGTGCCTAGAATTATTCCCAGAAATATTTGATTCAAGGGCATGAGAACTTTCTATAGCAGCCATGTCAAATAGAACATGCTGTGCTGATGGAAACATTCTATAGCTATGCTGACCAATTAGTAGCCATTAACCACATGTGGCACTTAAGAACTTGCAATGTGGTTAGCATGACTGAAGAACTGAATTTTAAATTTAATGTCATAATTTTAAGTTGAAATGGCCACTCGTGGCTAGTGGCTACCATATGGGACAATGCAGTGGGAAGCTTAGCCAGTGCACACAGGCAATAGCACAGATTGAACCCATTGCCTAGGGCAAGTTCAGGTTTTCCATTCCAGCTTCCTGTCTCTGAATAGAACCACCCTAAAGTGTTCAACATATAATTGACTTTCCAGCCCCTTTCCTGATGCCCTCATGAAAGATAGGCCCATTTTACTTGTGTAGCTCTTTTCAAAACAAAATAACTCTTGCTATAAAGGGATCCTTTAGAGTCTGAATAAGTTTTACCTGTTAAGTGTAAGCCATGCCCCTCGGTGCATTCTTCTCTTTCCCAAGCAGTCTTTCATGCCTGTGGGCAATATTCTCATTTTAGTGCCATACTCATTTCTCTTCACTTTCCTACCCAACCTAGGATCTAAGGTCCATGGCTGCAACCCCTCTCTGCCTCTAAGTTCTTTAGTGTCCTTCTCCCTTTGCCCTTCCATGAATCCTGCTCAGCAAATCCAACCTTTAGACCAACTTAACCGTCTACCACTCCTGTACCCATAGCTGCACTGCTGAGCTCTGCTTGAGCTCATAACCATCTCCCCAACACTAGGTGTGGCTCCACTAGTTACGTGTCTTTTCAACCCACTCGTCTCCCTTGTTGCCTTCTCCACAGCCTACAAACATGCTCAAGACTATCCCATTTTAAGAAAATAGTCAACTTTTCATTAGCTACAGCCCATATCTCTCCTTCCGTTAACACCCAAGCCATAGGAAAATGAGTCTATATTTCATCTCTCCATCTTTGACCATTGCATTCAGCCATCCTGGCCATTCCCAACACTACATGAAACCTACCTTGCTCTGACAAAGGATATCAGTGATAACCTTTAATTATAAATCTAACAGAATTTTTTTTTCAGGGTTTATTTTACTATCTTTACTATTTGACTCTGCTGCCCCCTCTCCTCCGCACCCCCCCCCACACACATACACATACCCATTTGTTAAAAAAAATGAAATCCCTCCCTTTGTTTATATTCTTTTTAAAATTTCACTTCCATAATAATGCTCATCTCTGAAAAGTCCTTCAGACTCTTGCTTCCAGGGGAACCCTGCCTCATCTTTTCCCATTCAATTCAAGTATCATACCCTAAATAATTCTTTTTTGACCCTTCCAGATAAAAATGGCACTTCTTAGTTCCTATCACTCAGCATAGACTTTCTTATAGTCCCCATAATATATTACTGACTGTTCCTGTAAGCCTGGAGGGTACTTGCACAGTTTAAATGTTCTTACGTACACAAAAAGTAAAACAATTGTGCCTAAGCTAAAGAAGATACACCTCAGGACTGGTTTTTCTCCTACAGCTTGCTGATTTGCATCCCCTGATCTAGAAGAATGTCTGAATAACAATTTGGAGTAGGCATGGTGTTGTTCAAAAGTTGAGCCTAGGAGTCCAAAAGATTAGTTCCAAGTTGCTAATTTTTTTTTTCTGGCAAGTGCCATGAACAGAGTGCTCTAGTTTATTCCCCGAAGTATTTCCATGAAAGAAACAGTGCCATGTATATAAACAAGTATAATTTTTTAAAAGTGGTTGTGATCAAACATTATAGAACACCAAATTACAGAGTTATTTACCTCTACATAAGCCATTTGCATCCTGACTATTCTTGTCCCCACACCAGTCTGATTTGAGGCACAAGGTATGAAACTGAATGAATTCAATTTGGAGATGATCTTGATACTCTAGATTTAGTTCTTTTGGAAAAACTTGTTAAGGAAAATATGTTGGTATCGTTCCAGTTTGAACTTGTTCCATGTGTTTGTGCATGTGCATGTATGCGTGTGTGTGCATGCATTTGCCTAGTTTGTTTATTGAGGAAAATGGATTATATTTTATAATTCAATAAAAAATAATGTGGAATGAGGATAATAATTTGAGCATATTAAATCCATATATTTTCATCTTTAATAGTCTAGCTCTTCACTGCACTGCAGCTCCTAAACCAAAAGCACAGTCTGGCCCACTCATACTAGTCTTCTGCATGATAGAAAAATTATTCCTGTCCATGACCTCTAGGCTGGGAGATTTTCTGCCCTAGGGAAGAAGGTGGATGTGGCAAGAAAGGGGTAGCAGACAGAAGTGGAAGTCCTGCCTTAACCTTTGTGAAATGTTGGAAGAGAGGCAGAGGTACTAAAGCAAATAATTGGGAGTATGTGTCTTGACCCTCCAGCAAGCCAGAGCTGATGGGGAAGCCCAGAGTATAGGGGCCAGTTCCCTGCCATCTCTGGAACTCCATGGAAGAACTGTCCCATGGAATGAGCCTGTGGCCACATGAGCCCACTAAACAAAAGTTTAAAAATACAGTGTGGTGCTGTTAGAGTGAAAGCCTAAAATAGCACTCCTGAGCCTCCCTTAGCGTTCATGGGTCATGTAATGACCCAGAAATTTCCCCAACCCTGTGGAGAACAAGAAACATAGCGAAAAGAGAGATCCAAGATAGCAGAGTAGATAAACACTGTGCCTGCATTCTTCCATAAACACATTAAAATTACAACTAAATTATAGAAACATCAACCTGGAGAACCATCTGAAGCCTGGCCAAACAAAAGTTCTATGACTAAAAATACAAAGAAGAAGCCACGTCGGGACTGGTATAGGGGCAGAAACACGGAATGGCCCCAAATCTCCAGGTGGTGGTTGAGAATCAGGAGGGCTATCTTGGTGGCGAGGCTTCCTCCCGGAGGAGCAAGTGACCCCAGCTCACTAAACCAGTATCCCCAGCACAGAGTACTGGTGCTGGGAAGAGGAGCCTTCATAACATCTGGCTGTGAAAAACAGTGAGGATTCTGACCTTCTGGGTGGGACAGAAGGCTGTGAGAAACCCAGACGTCCTCTTACAGGGCCCATGCACAGACTCATTCACTTGCAGGCACTCGCGTTGGACTCCAGTGGAGGGATGGTGACTTGGGAAGCACTGGAGACATAGGGGGTTCGGGGTGGGATGGCATAATGAGGTGTGTGGCTTCAAAAGGAGGATTGGAGGACAGTCAACATTTTCCTGTGTGAGGTCCTCCTCCCATGCAGCCAGCAGCCATCTTTCCTGTGTTGAGTCCGCCCCCACCACTGCCAAATCTGAATCTGATTGGCCTGATGAGCTCTGCTGATCCATCCTGCTGACTCACTGGGATGCCACCCCACCAACTCCCCCAATGCTAGAGGTACTTTCTCCATAAGCCGCTAGCCCCATCCACATTGCACTCTTTCTTGGAAAACTATCAGAATCTGACAGGCCCCCAACAAGCAGCAGCTGGCCTCCATGTGCTCTGAGACTTTTGCTGAGTAGCTCCAGGCTCAGCACTCACACCAAACCAGAATTTACATTAACCTGGTGACCACAACTCTTCACACTCTAGTGACTCTCTGAGACCCAGCCTCACCCAACTTTCATACTGCATGAGGCTCGATCAGCAGCTGAACCTTAAGGGACCAAGCAGGCAGCAGCAGACCTCAGGGTATCCTGGTTTTTTGCAGAGTTATCCCGGACCCAGTACTGGCGGCAGACATCCTAGGTTCATAGCATGGCCTCTCCAACATGCCTCCAGGTTTAGCACAGGCAGTGAACAATCACGGATCATTTTGTAGCTCCTACCAGTTAGCCCCGAAACAGACACAGGCAATAGGTGACCTGGGTCTGCACCAGAGCCACTCCCAAGAGGCCCCAGAACCAAC